TTCTATTGTTTATATGAAAAAGAAAGAGGATACAAAAGAGCTTCCATTACCCTTTTCTTTGTTACATTTACAAGGATGGAAGTTTCGTTTTTGTTAGAATGAAAAAGAAACAGCGTGCTGAATCATTCTTGTCTTTTATTATTTTAACATTTACATTGCTAAATTTTGTAATTTGCATCGACGTCACTGTCGTTAGACGTACGAATTGTTTTGTTATTTTCAATTTTCGAACTTCGGTATTGGCTCAAAGTTGAATATTGGACATTTTATGGTTTCTCTGTTCTTTTGACTATAACATGGAACATTTTTTAGAAGAAATTGATTCCTACATTTTAAGACTAACTTGTTTATTTCTATCAAATGGTATGGTCATTACTAGATCAATATTTTTACTAATACAGACAAATAATTAAAATACGTAATAGCGTAATGATCTTGCCGTTAGAGTGCGTTCAAGTTCTCTACCGGAAAAATACCATTTCACATTAAAAATTTGTGATTTATGATTTTCCTGTATCTCTACTCTAGAGCTCCTTGATTTCTGCATTCGTTGTGACTCAGTCTAGTCACTTCAAGGTAACTTTGTTATAGGTCATGGAGTTTTCTTTCTTATCGCCTATAACTTACCAGTATAAAGAATGCGCGAGATTATTCAACAAAATTGAAGGCCTCTGTGATATATCTGTATGTACGCTAAAAACTGAAACGCTTCTGTCTAATGAAACTTAACGGATACAACATGTTTTACAAAAAACATTTCTTTAAAAATCATTAAATATATTGTAACCTCAAATCATAATAGTGATTGTCTCGCACTTTATATAAAAAACAAGAAGTAACGTAACTAAAAGTCTCTGGTGGCGAACGTATAAATGTACAACGTTGCTTCTTATTATGCAAAACACGATCACGATAAACAACCAAATTACGTAATTCTTTTTGATTTTCTAACGGGTCGCACTGCCCCTCTGCGCACAATCGCTCCTTCCCCTATCGATCAGACATTCGACACCGTATTATCGTTTCAGCTTCCGGTTGGCGTTAGGACGCTTCGCGGCTCGATAAACTCTCCGCCATTAAAATCGATCGAGTTGCCCATTAGTCGTCAATTAACGGTAGCCATCGACGATCTCGGCGAACGATTCGCGGAAAGCCAGAAACGCGGTGAAAAATCGTCGGACAAACGACAACGCGAGAGGCTCCTTATCACGAACGTAACGTAATCTAGAAAGCTTCCGCGTGATATACGAGCGATTGATAAGGTCAACAGGGCCAGGTTTTCGTAAGCAAACAGGACACAGTGTGTCACATTTCGTTCAGACCCAATGCATTAGCTGCTTTCCGACAGTACAAATAGAGAGAGAGAGAGAGAGAGAGAGAGAGGACGGGACAAAAAGCGCTGGTGTTATCAGCTGACGTTAAGTGATAACATTTGCTCTCTAGCAATTGATGTCGGCCTTGTCATGTGTGGATTTCGTAAACTACGAGACCAAGATCTGACAGCGATTCAAGAGATTCGTGCTCCACGGGGATGAAGAACGCCTGACCGAAAATGCTTCAAAAAACTATATTTTAATAATATGTTTGATCTTTTACTCTCGAATGATCCAACGTAAAATTATTCTTGTCAACTGTGGAAAACGAGGATCTTCATGTGGTTATTCTCAATGAAAAAAATAAATCAAAATAAACGAAAAAGTTTTGTTTACTAGTTTAGCATGTCTACCGTTATGTATAAAAGTATTGACATCCCACAGTTATTTGTCATGTGAAATAAAAATTTGTTTAAAGAAAGCCTTTTCTTTCAAGCGTACAATAATAGCTCCTTAATCGCGTCATTGGCTACTGAAATTCTATTTAAAAATCCCGTACTTTGACCGATGAATAATTAAAGTTTCGCAGGAAACAGGCATCCGCGCCCGCATTCCATTTAACAAGCGTGAAATATTCATCGAAACGACAAACTCTGATACTCTAAGCGCTGTCCCTGCCTTTGTCACGCCAAGTTCGCCCCTGTTCCCGCCAAGTATCGACCACGACACATCGAATCTCTGTACGTGACTCCAGAACATGTCGGCGACTCAAGACAAAAGTGATTTTCGCTGAATCAGAAGCTTGTTTTCGTCACTACGATTCTTCGTTCATTCAAAGGTCAATGAAAGTCAACGTTCGTAAATGGTCGGAAATGAGAAAGTTTTGCATAATATGTATTTATGCATCACCACCTTTCAGGTCAAAAAAAGACACTGTTAACATTCTATCTACTGAGAGTCTAATGGCTTTTTATAATTACAATGTCTACCTACTAGAAACTATTAATTGTGTTTTTGGGTGTTCATCTATAGTGCTTCATTTAGGGGTGTTCATCTATAGTGCTTCATTTAGGAGTGTTCATCTATAGTGCTTCATTTCACGCGTACAATAACAGTAAATTACCATATTCACTATTTAAAATAAGGAATAGCATTTTATAAATAACGCTATCAACAACGTAATTTCTGTTTGTGAGAAAACGATTATCAACGCGTTAGAAACATAGACTGCCTAGAATTAATTTATATAGAAAATGTAAGAATCCTTATACAACATTAATTCCATCTTACAAAAATATTATTTGATCGTCCTAAAAGTTCGTGCCATTTATACTTCTATTTCTCAAATTAATATGTGAAACATACTCTCAAGTGCCACAAGAAAAGATAATCTGTCTCATTTCACGATAGTTTCTCACCTCTCTCACATAGTCATTATACCGTTACTAGAAAATGTCTGTGGTTTTTTTATTCAATTTCGACACAGTCTTCAGCACGATCTTATGGGACGACCTAATACTTTCACGTACTTTGAATTTTTCAGAATGTCAGATATTGTCATATAATAATCCAATTCGAGAAATTCTTCTATTTAAATACATTCCTTTTAAATGATTAATACCACGTGCACGGCTGGCGTTTAAATCTCAAACGCCAACGTGTGCGCTCGGCGGGATCAAAATACAACGAGGTGCAAGGTCTTCCGCGCTATCGATCTGGAAATTGCACTACAGACAACAGCAACTTCCCGCGAACCGTAATCGTCTCGGTCAGTCGTTCGAAAGTCGCAAAACTGTGTCACGCGTTTCTGCAAACGTGTGTCGGGCCGTCCTGACACAGTACCGTGTATTGTGTACAGAAGCTGTCTTTCCACTTCACGTGTTTATACTCTTGGTTGACGCTACCTACTCGAAATTGGTTTAGGAAAAGTGGTGCCACCCGTATTTGTATAAATTCGAACCAATTAATTTCTACGATACGTTTCATTACAAATTGAGGATGGCAATTGTTGATCGTGGTTTTTTTTCTTAAACTAAATAATTATAAACATGTCTACAAACTCTAGAGATAATAAATCTTCATGAAAAACATCAGTTGATACTTGCTTTTATCGGGTGCAGTGTATTGTGTACAGAAGCTGTATTTTCACTCCACGTGCCTGCTCTTGTTTGGCGTTGTCTACTCAAAATTCGTTTAGGAAAAGTGGCGTCACTCGTACAGGAAAATATGTATTTGTTCCAGGGACTAATCAATTTCTACGATATGCTACTGACAAAACAAGGAAATGTATGTAATTACTGATAATGGTTACGATCTTAGTTTTCTTTGTCAATGTACTAAGGAATACATCCATAAACAAGAATCCTTTCTGTTAAATTAAATGACTGTATAACGTCGTCACTAATTTTAGAGATGATTAATCTTTATGAGAAACACTAGTCGATATCATAACATAAACAGATAAAGGCCTACGAAGATTCACTTTGTTCTCTGTGTACAGTTTCTTCATAATAATTAATTCCATATCTTTCTTTGTCCGTTTTTATAAATTCGCTTAGACTTACAAATATTTAAAACGTGTTAAAACTTACGAATATATTTTATTTTTACTAGACTCTTGATTCGTTGCCAACAACGATACGAGATAAGATTCCCCACAGAAGGTAAACAGAAGAGTGCGGTATATATTTTCCCGTACCATGTCTCGTTTTCGAAAACATCGAATGCGAACATTACGGGGCATGCGCGCCATAAAACAACCACGTACTTTCAACCTCAATTTCCTAGAAAATGAATCCAACCATGGAAAAACATTATTTCACATACTCGGTTCATTTTCCTTCGCCCGTGTATCTTCATATATAGCAAAACTTTAACGTCGTGACGTGAAACACAATATTATGAACGCAGCGTTCGTGGACAGTGTTAGACGACTAGGTACATTGCCTAGATCCAAGGATCGCGACAAATGACACTGATTATTAAGATCGAGTCACTTGCTGAGATAGTCATAATTTAAAATTTGCTCAAATCTTTGAGGTAAGATGAGTTAAAAATAGTCACGTCTTTTCTTTTAAAGGTAAAGTTATGAGATTGTGATTCTGTGCAACTTGGTTTCACTTTTCTTTTAATTTCAATTATCAACTAATAGATTAAGTACACTTTAGAATATATGAATCTGAATTTGAACTTTTCTTTCCAATCGTTTGTCTCAAACATTTAATAACCACCGAATGAATACACTCCACGTTTATTTGCATTCTTAACGTGTACATAAGGAGTTTTAATTTAGATAAACCAACATTCCTTCAACCTAAATTAATCCTTTAAAATTGTAAGCTTTATGAAACATGTACAGAATCAAAACCTATCTATCTTTTATTCGTTTCCCGAAATTTTCATTTGAACAAGAATTTTTCCCATCTCTGGTCACCGACCTAGTTTCCACCGAGGATTTGATACGAGTGCCAAGTACCTACTTGATTCGAAGGTGTATCGATCCAAAATAATACGCGTATTAAACGCCACCGCAGCGCTGTACACACTCGTGTACTTTGTGGAAACGGCTGAATTAAGATCAATAGAGTTGCGCACCACTGCTGTAAACTAAATCACTTTCAATCTCATACACTCGATTCGCTGGACACATTTTCTTCGCCCAAAGAAAATCCCTGCGATGTGTCTTACCTGAGCGTAAATCGTAGGAGGACATGACGCCGTCTGTTCGGAGGACACTCGTTGCACTGACACGCCGAATCGAGATCTACCACGGGGATCGAGATCGAGAGTGAGAGACAGCAAAGGGGCTAGCGCGCACCGTTGGTCGATCGTAGCCGACTGTTTGTGAACGTGAACGATCGTACGCACTTTTATCGCATCGGCACGTGGTCTCTCGCGGTTCATCATGCATCCATCCCCCTACTTACGACACGTAACCTCCCTCTCTCACCCATACTCCCTCCACAATCACTGCTACACGAGTTTATTTTTGATTTTCGAAGCATTTATTTTGTACCGCGGACAACAAACTCTGTGCCAACTGTGTGTTCGATGAGTACCGAACTGTCATGGGATTGATCGAGGAAGTAACTTTAGATGATGAGATTAGCGTGGATCAGTTGGGATTTCGATGATAAGGTCTGCAGAGTGAGGCTGAAATAGGGATGGAACTTTGTTTGGCTACTTCGATTCGATAAGTACTCAAACAGAACCAAATATGTGAATAATATTCGAATAGAGCCGTTAGTATGCAAATAATTACATTTTCATGCATTCTCTGAAGACTTCATAAGCTTATAAAGATCTCATTTTTAAGTAAAATAATTGTTGCAAGTAATCTTGAAATTTTTTTGGTAAACGAAATGTTTAGACCAACGTTAAACTAAATATTCTTTACCTTAATCAATAACAAAATATGTAATATCATAAAAACAAATATATAACCAGTCCCGTAAATATTCGCATCATCTATGTCTATTGAATACACTTGTCTAAGTGAATCAATAGGTTTGATGTTTCCAAATAAGTTTTTCATTATAAATATATACACGTGTAAAGTTTCCTCATGTATATATTTATAATAAGAGATTTATTTGGAAATGTTACAACTATCATTTAATTCAGACATTCTGATAAATAAATTATCCTGACTTAGAGAAGTGACTGTTTGAATATAACACAAATTGTCATAAAAAAACGATGCAAAAATAAAACATACAGAACACGGGAAAAATAGTAGAGATGCTTTATGTTTCATTGATGTCGTTTTTTATTACTTAATTTGTATTAGATGTACATATTAGTGTTTTCGCTATTACAGATGCACTACATTTTACTATTCTGAAAATGATTGAGTTACGGTTAAAAACGTATAATTTACTGGTTTAACATCTCGTTTATCCAGAGAAGTTTTTCAAATATATATGTTAATTAATGAACACTTACGTTAATAATTGCTCACCCAAGCAATTTATGTGGATATAAAACATGGATTTATGTCTGGGAGATCCACTGTTTTTAACCTTGTAGAATATAGTAATTGCGTTTTATCTACCGTACTCCAGACAAGTATGCAAATTGACACTATTTTTATCGACATTAAGAACACATTTGACGAGGTTCACCACGCAATGTTAATTTTGAAACTTTTTCCTTAACGACAATGTTGTTTCTAATCATCTCCTGAACCACCCTTTTCAAGGACCTCCAACATTTTTGGGACACCTTGTATACGCCCTTTTGTAATCTGAATCTAATCTTGGAGGACGAATATATGAAGGATGAGTGTAGTGATGTCAGAGTGCATGCAGCGTGAATGAAAAGACTGCAGAATGTAAGAATGTGTGTGAGAGGGCGAATGTCCTAAGCCTTTAGTCCTAAGGTTTAGTTGAAAACATAAGATGCGCGGACGGTTGGTCAGGGAACAATCGGAAGAGGACAGTCAGTCGATCGCGACAAACCGAGAAACACCGTTATTTTTATTCCTTACTTTAATTAAATATTTTTCGTTCTATTCAATACTGGCTTTATTCACTTTCCCCTCATCCTCACTAAAAATAGAATCCCACATATATACATCCTTCGCGGACAAAGTATTAATAACAGTAAAAATTTCACAAACTCGAAAGTCAGGGTAGCGAAATAACACTCTCGGTTGTTAAAACGTATGAAATTTATTTCTACATATCTGTTGTCACAAGCTTGCCTCCGAAACTCGTCCCTCGAGCCTTTCCTCGAACTCGAGGCTCGAGACCGACGATTATCGTCAAAAAGAGATCCAAGCGTTGTAGTCGGCCAAACGAACGCCCGACATGTAACTGCAGTCACCAGCATTTTCGCGGGCGCGTGTGCATGCAGCCAGCGCAATTAAAAGTTTCCACCAGCGATACCGCCTCGGGTAATTTCCTGAACGCGCGCGCTCGCCGCTAATTCCATTATTTCGAATTTCCACGCGGAATGGGCTGCCCAGAGGGATCACCCGCGTTGTTTCCCGGAAAGACAACCAACCTAACGAGCGACGAATTCACGTCTGCCTGAGCACCCCTCCCCGCGCCTGACGATGAAAAATGCGCCGAGAAGAGGAATGTTTCCCGCAGCAAACACAATGTAGTTTTGTATGAGAAAATTATCGTTCAAAGAGGGCGGTCTCTAGACTCTTCCGGCTACAAAGAGCAGTCCTTTAGAGCAAAGCTTCTTAAAGAGGATAATTAACAATCTCGCAAAAAGCAGATCCATTTTGGGGAATATTGAACAAGGTATTGGATTTTCTATTTTGTATCTTCAGTGAAAAAAATTGAGAGTTTGTATTAACATTTTATCTTAAGTCTTCGCGTTGAAATACCTTAAAGTTTCAAAAAATGTTTAAAATCATAAAATATATTTCTTATAATTACGAAATATCAGAAATATTAGATTGGTTTGTAATCACCCTTTGTAAAGGTGAAGTATTAGAGCCCAATATCTTATTTCTTTTAATTATGAGATTACTTTCTCTGTATACAAAAAATATACCTGTTTTGTAATTATCACTATGAATTAAAACTTATTTCAAATCGCACACTAGACTATTTCTCTGGCCTAAATTAGTTGCAATCACTTTTTCATTTTTGGCAACTCATTGGCTCCCCTTCGATGCAAAGAGCGGCAAGACTTTTATCTGGATACAAATTTAAAATTACGAACATCATCAATATCATTTGCTCGGTTATTCGCTTAACGGAATAAAATTATATTTGATGTTGAACGAATAAAAATTTATCTAAACGACGAACGAATCGATATACGTTGTTATATAAATAAAATTTTGCTCATCTCTTATTAGATACTCCAATTCACTTCCAAAAGAGCTGATGCTTGCATGCAAGTTCTCCTTTTTTTAATTTTGGTAAATGAATTTTGACACTTTCATGTGTCCAACGAAATGGTTGAACGAATTTTCCAAAACAGTCCCCTAGGATTGGTGTAGGAATTTCTAACGAGTTCGAAGGCAAGAGAAGCGACAATTCGGACGCTCGCAATAATTTACATTGTTCGTGCTATGACACAAATGAAACCCACGCCTGAATTTCGCGGATAATAAATTTACATGGAATCTTTGTACACAAGTGAATCATCTGGGATCAGTCTATAGCCGAGAAGTCCTCTTCGCGTGGCATATTCTTGATCTTCGGGGATTGGAGGAGGGGGTGATCCACGTGGGTCTCCGTAGATCGAAGGAGACTCGGACTGAGTACCTTTCGTTCCTCTCGTTTCACTTCTCGAAATCGCTGCCTGCGCGCCAAAGTGATCGGTTCGCTACCGATAAAACGCGAACACGATTAGGATTTCTCGCTCGAATTGTGAACCATGGACCACACCGGAATGCAATGTTGTTCGCTGAAAATTAACAGAAATCTTCAATTAATCCTAGAGTAGAATGTAGATAGGTATATCAAGGTAAAACGTAGTTATGAAGAATATTTATGAAAATTCTCATTGTTATTTTCTCCACGGTACCTTTACTTTAACAGAGTTATAAACTTCATGAATACGTTTCTATTGTATTTTTCGATACGATGTGCTGCTTTGCGTTTTCGAACTTAACGCTTCCGAATATATTTGTAACCGAGATATTAATCAACTTTTTGTGTTACTATTATTTAACCCTTTGCACTCGAGGCCATATTTTCTGGTATCTGCCAGCAACTCGAAATGTTTCTTAGCATTTTATTACCATGAATTCTAAGCTATATGCCACCTTTATACCATAAGTCACCTTTACCTCGCAGACAATCATTTTATCGAGACTTCAAGCTCCAAGTGAAACCTGATGGTGACTGAGAGTCACCTCTCGAGTGCAAAGGGTTAAAAATCTAAAGCTGAAGCTAAAACACTTGAATAACAATATATATTGAATCGAGTTGTCCATTGACGTACCTGCGTCATCACGCGTTTACGTCTCTACACCACTGAGGTTCCCAGTGCTCTGACAACATCCCTGACTCCTTTTGGGCAGAAACAAGCAGCGATACAAAAGCGAGGCGATCACGGCTCCGCTGAATGGCGCCAACCAGAAAATCCAATGGTGGCTCCAGTAACCGTTCCAAATGGCAGGACCCAGGGTTCTGGCGGGATTTAGACTGCACCCCGTGTAGGGGATGAACACGAAGCACAGCACAGTGACGCACAACCCGAATCTTATGGGCGCCGAGTCGGTGTTGCTGGAGTTTCGATGGTCCCAGAGACCGCAGGCGAAAAATACCAGGATCGCAGTAGCGATCGTCTCCGCCACGAAACCCTGAAGAGGGCTCAGACCTTTGTGAATCTCCGTCATGCAGAACGAGTCAGCGTCGTCAAGCGTTGTAGCATACATCAATTCGACCGGAGTCATCGCCTGTAAAGAAGGAGGAGAACGATCTAGTTAGACGAATGTTTCATTGAGTCGATTGAGATGTTAGTCGTAAGTGTTTGATACCTTCAGCAAACCGTAGCCTATCAGTGAACCGAAACACTGGGCGGCAATGTAGAGCACGGACATGGGCAGAGATTTTTTCCCTAGAATCAACGCGGCCAGCGTTATCGCGGGATTAATGTGAGCTCCGCTAATATGCCCGATGCACTAAAAACAAAGTTACAAATAAATGATTACGTGATGATTTAACACCAATACTATCAGGCTGATCAATTTCACTTATATACTTTGTGCATCTTTTTAAAATTGTTGGATTATCGACAAGGTTTTGGTGAAAAATATAATAGAGAACTAGGTACGCATTAAGGTCGATTCAGACTATACGACACGGACCGTCACGTTCCGGCAACGACACGTACCGGCACCGACGCGACAAAAGAGACGCGTTTTAATAGAACTATTCACACTATTCGCGTTGACGGAACGTTCAGGTCGGTGTCTGCTAAGTGTGAATAGTTCCATTAAAACGCGTCTCTTTTGTCGCGTCGATGCCGGTACGTGTCGTTGCCGGAACGTGACGGTCCGTGTCGTATAGTCTGAATAGACCTTTAATCGATTGGTTTACTCCTCGAAAATATCAGCCTATAAGGGATGATGAGAAATTTGTTTATAGTTATAGTTCATTCATAAGATGCCTAGTTTCGAAACTACAAATTGAAAAGTGAAAAGTTCGTTGCAAAAATTGAATTGTAGGAAATTGATCTTCCAAGTTTTCAATTTTTATCTCTGAAACTAAACTTCGTATGAATGAACTGTAAATATAAAAAAGTTTCGTTTCGTCATTTCTTAGAAGGTGATATTTTTTTTAAAATTCGATCGTCTGTTAAGTATAAATGTACCGTGCAACTTTTAATGAATAAATTTCCCTCTAATGCGTTCACTGGTTGCATAGTTTTCGAAAGTTATTTCATTTTGCCAACTCCCGTTTTCCGTATTTTTGAACGAATTTACCGATGAATATTTCTGTGCAAGCACCAGCGTTCTTCTGCTATGCACCGGCTATTAAAATTCCTACGCTCGAGTCTCAGACCGCATAAGCAGATGGCCTCACGATAATTTGAAAAATCGAAATATATGAAGAGTTTTGCGTTTGCAGTACCGTAAAAATAAACGTGACCCTTTACCTGGATAGCGATCATTACGGCAAGGCCAAAGGTTAAGGAGATTTGCACCACGGTCGGCGTAAATCCCATACTTCCAATGCACCCAGTGCATCCTATAAAAACCAGGATCGCGGTGCCGATCACCTCCGCCAAACCAATCATCAACGTGTCCCATCCACTCGCATTTTCAGACATCAGGTTGCTCAGCCCTGAAACAAAGAGTGAATGTTGTTGAAGCTTAAATGTATGATCGAGCAAAACGGCCATTTTTAAGAAAATAGGCTAGAAAAGTTGTGAAAGGGATATTCATGGATTGGAAAGTGCTCGTATGAGGAGTAAAATTAAAAGAGAATATTATTAAAGTTTCTTAATAGAGTTTGTATATATATTTCTTGTAAATATTTTTGTAAACAAACATTCTGTACATTTCCCTTGGTCTAACGATACCGTGTCCTTTTCAGCTATTTCTCCATATTTTTCCGTTCCCTTTTTTTTCCATGCTTTCCTCGTTTCGTATACTGTCAATTTTTACAATATTTCGTGTTCACTGATAGGAAAAAAATACGCAAACAAAGATCGAACACGCATCATGTTTGCGTGCGGCTATGCTGCGTTGTTGCTGCATTCGTTGCTTGTTACGTTTGCTTACAAAAACAAGTCTACTTGTAAAAAACAACTGAAATGTTTACTCGTCATTCCATTTAGCACTTGTCCATATTAAATAACAATCAAAACTTTACAGTCTTAAAAACAAGCATTAATTTATTTCAGACGTTCCGAATCTATAATTTGAGTCACCCTCGGCATCTGTAAATATTATAATTATACCTCATTGTTAACACTTGCGTCGGTATCCTGTTTTCATTTTAATCAGTGTACTTTGATATTTACTTTGATCAAACGTTATAGCGATAAAGAACTTATCTTTGCAAGATTACAACATTAAATAAAGCTACGAGCTATAAATACATGTTTCTTGTTAACTAGAACGTTTAATGTGTATACAAACAACACTTTAAACTTTTTCTACCTAGATATCGATGAAACCGACTAATCGAGGTCCCACTGTATCTTTAATAAATGTAGATGTACAAACACTTGTCTCACATAATCCAACAGGATGGAAAGAAAGGTATCATAACTGGATGAGGTTAGACGGATGTCAAAGTTCATTTGAATACAAATGGCAGAGACGTGGCCACTCCAGGAACGAGCAAGACTAAGGGACACGTCTTTATTTTTACCCACTGAATGCATAATCGAGTGGAAGCCAAGAGGCGAAGGTTCGACCGTGAATATTAGAACCTGGTTTCATCGTCGTTTGATGCTCGACCCGGTTTCGCGCGGAATAATATCGCAGACAGCACGTGCGAGATTTCCGTGGCGCGAAACCACGCTCGATCGGTTGCAATTTTCTTAATTACGTCGGAGGGCCTCCGACTCCGACTCATTAAGGTAACCACGAACGTGCACGCTCGATCGATGGCGCTTCCAGATGGAATCGGGAACGGGGGCGCGCGAAATTTCCTCGCGCTCCTTTTCCAGCGGTATATTTTATCACGGGCACGCGATTGGTTACGAAAAATAGGAACACACTGCTTTTCGCGAAGAATTCAGCGTTCACAATTGGCATCTGTAGACCGAGAGAGCGTTGTTTGTATAAACATTAATGCAACGAAATGAGAGTTACATATTTATGTTTAAACTGAAGTTATGAATAATTAAATGTGAAGACAGAGAATTAATTTCTACATCTAATAACTGTCAAGTACACTTGTAATCAATTATATCGAAAGTGATCACAGGTATGAAAATAATTATGAAGTAGAACAACGTGTTATTTGGAATAATAGTTCAAATAATATCATTTTAAAAGTATCCAGGTTTTTATATAACATGTCATACAGTATCATTTATGTTTTATTAACTCTTTGAGTGCTTTGAGTTGAGTGATTTAAAATTTTTCAATCTCCTGCTTGTGACCTAATTATTATTTCAATAGTTTTATTGCTACATTTATTACGCCCACATACTAAGATTCATTAATTTACGAGTTATATGTTTTACATTTTGATATTTTTAATAAAATAATTAATTTTGAAACGAACACCAAAGTAAGAAGTATTTCAAATCCAGAACAAAAGCTTTGCTCTAAAAGACCAAAGTCTCGAAGAAACAGTACTCTATATGTGTGGACATTTGGATTACGATCAAATATTAATCCAGATAACAGAATCCCTTGTCTACTCGTTGAGACTTGGAAGACTCTCTCGTGTTCAATTATAACGACTCTCTATTTTAAACTAACTTCGGACTCTCGCATTCGTGGTGTGCAAAAGTGTCTCCAGCCGGCACTCAGCTCTCGCCATTGACGCGTCAAAGTGTATCTTGCGAATTGTCTGAACGTGGAGACCAAGCACATGGCAACTCTTCCAACAAACAAGGTCTGGAAGTTCAACCGGCTCGTGGTACTTTTGCTCGTGAACTTTCGCCTAGCAACTTTGTCGACCACGCGTCGAATACGATTACAGATCGTGTAAGCTGACAGTGTTAAGGGTCAAGCACAATTTGCATGAAAGTTGGACCACCCCAGGTCCGTCGTTCGGTGAAGTGGCGCTCGAGATGGAAACCTCATACTAGGCGCATACTATTGACTTTCCGTCAACTGAACTGTTCAGTCGAATCAAACGCTGCCAAATCTCGAGCGAGACACGATGAAATACTGGAAAGGAAGTTTCTTATTTGTGCAATAAGGGCTACCTTAAAATCAGCGGAACAGTTTTCTTGGACAACGCTCAACTGAAAATAATTTAGACCGATTTCTTGTGTCATCAATGTATTAGATCGTCCTACAAGTTCAACCCCATTAATTCTTCTGCTACTCGAATCAATATGTGAAACGTAGCTTTAAGTGTTATAAAATGAAGCAATCTCTTTCGTTTTACAATATTTTCCTACTTTTCTGACACAGTCATTATATCGACACTATAAAATAATGCTTCAAATGAATGAAAAGAATTGTTGAGTAATTGCTCAACTCAACAGTGGCTTTACGTTAAGAAAGAACAGAAGGAACGACGAATAGGAAAGTTTTATCATCTTTTTGCTGAAATTTGTCGACGCTTCGACTTCGACGTTCCCATTGGACCGTTCGCAACCTCGATTCGTAATGATTCTCTTCTGTTTATCGCGAATACGAGCGTTAATCTCGGGTCACGGTTACGTATGCGTGCGCCAGAAATGATAAAAAGAGTATCCATGATGAAGTAATCAATACAGAGGTCAAATCGCACGCGATACTTTAACGAGTCGAGTAGTTTCTAGATAAATTTGACGAACGTATCGTGACGAATACGAATACGTATAAATCTGGATTTGTAACTTTTTCCCGTTCTAAAATGGTTTATTAATAGGTTGACAATCGCATTATTCATGTATGGTGAAAGAACTTTTCACTAAGGAACTAACCCAGTTAATTCTGAAGTTTTATTATATTACTACTAAAGGAAATGAATCTAGACAAGATTTGTAAATTTCATGAGGTTATAAATATAAATATTCTACAAATATTAGATTACATAGTTTCCAAATCCACAAAAACAAAATTTGTTCTCGTTGAAACTTTCAGTAGTATTATCCGGGCAGTCAACGGATCAAAAACAGAAATTATTCTAAATATCTACATCTAATATCTATCTAAAATCATTATTTATGGAATTTCCTCATGAGCCACATTCTTTACAGAAATTGTGTTATGTTTTCAAAAGTTTTCTTGCTATCTGACCTGAGCAAGAGGCTATATAATTATAGCTTAACAAAACTTCATCTGTGAATGATAGTAATTGTGCAAGAATCGTATTCTTTAGATAACGTTTGCCATTAACGGTCGCTTGTTCACACAGCATTATTTTATAATTTGATTATAAGTTCTTTCACAACCGCTCGGATTATCATTTGAACTTTATATTTACTTTAAGCAAGTACAAGTATAACTTTATACATTTTTAATTATTCTAATTGTTGTTTCTATTATCGCACGTTTAACACCAATCGTGACTTTCGGGATCGACTAAGACTTTCAAGAGTAATCAACACCTCAGGACTTATCGCAAGACTTAAAAACTGATCACGACTCTCACGACTGATCAGGGCTTTCTACACCAATCGAGACTTTCAATACCTTCTTGCATCGAATAATGATCAATGCAAAGCGAATCGTTAGAGCGTTGAAAGTTTTTAATGTCTGGAATAATTTTTCTTTGGCACTTCTACGTCATTAATACTGCAAGACAACTTTAAGACTTTGAGTATACAGAACAAAAATCATCAATATCGTTCAAACAGCTGTAACATCAACAATTTTCGATATTTTAATAAATTTTTCAAGTAACATTTAAATATCATCGAAAACTGCAACGTGTACCCACTAAAAAATATAACCGATTTTATGTAAAATAACACAGTTAGACAAGACAGAAGTAAAATACTATAACCAATGTGAAGTTTCTTTTACGGTACTTTCTAATGCTATACCGTAGTGTCAAAATGACCGAATGACATGCAGAAATATACGAGAAATGTGCATCGCTCGCACACATATGCTCGTAAGTATTAATATTAGTTATCGAAGTCAAAGTTAGTCAAATCGAAGACGATTCATCATCGATTAGCTTCACCATGCTACTTACTATTCCTACTATGATTCCTACGAGATACTGAATCTCAATCACATCAGTCACGGTAGTTCTTCTCGAGGTTTCAAGGTCATGTCGTTAAGGAACATTGAACTTGTGTTTATAGGTATTCTGCGTGAGAACAACTGTCACAGTTGTTCTCACTTATATATATATATATATATATAAGAATATACGGCACCTTGAAAATTGTAATGTGTGCACAACTTGAGAGTCAAGAAAGTATATGCCCTTATCTTTCAAAGCGATTCACAAATTTAACTGCATATACGTGCGCAATTGATTACTGGGGCAGGTCGATTCTAAAGCGAGTTTTTAACAAAATCGACATTTTCGTATTTTATTGCCATTCACGCGGAAAAAGGCATCAAAACTGTGTCGTCCCAATACTCTGGACTGTTGGACATGTAATCCACGTAACGTGACAACATTTCAACCCTTAAACTTGGGGGTGAACCACTCCTAACTTTGGACCACCCCTGCTCAGCTCAGGGGGCAGTTTTCGAAACGGGATC